GGTAATTCAAGGTTTGCCCACTGCATAGGCTCAGCTTTTCTCATGGTGATCTCAATCTTTGTGGCAGTCATCGTTACATAGCTTCGCTTCACATCAATCACCTGCAAGAGGATGAAAGATTTTTTATTACTCTTAAATGAAAATAATCAGCTTATCTTTACTAACAGCCCAACTCCAACCTTCTAAGCCAACTTTATACTAAAATTTGACCTGTTGGAATACATTTTTTGTCCCTATTTAGCACTTCTTTGGCTTACGGAAGCATTATCTTTTGTTCTACAAATGATCAATTCAAAACATAAGTTCTGACTATTACAGGATACTTACGCCCCATAATTTCACATTTTGATGAAATTCTTTCTCTCCTTCAAATACAATGAGCACATTTAACTGAAAGACATAAAAAGTCAATAAAATTCAAACAGAAACTTTACAGAATGCTGGTTAGAAAAATCAATGGATTTAGAAAATCAATTATGCAGGGGAAATCATAGGGTTGCACAATTTGGTGGATGGATGGAGGGGGTGAAGGAAATAGGAAGACCTGGGGGGTACCTAAAAAGAAAGGTAATGGTGGGCATATACTTTAATGGTGATTAACTTTCTAAAACACAATGTATGGGAATGGTTGTGTGAAACACAATGTATAATTTTGTATGCAAACCAATATAAAAGAAAAATCAGTTGAAAAAAATAATGACATAATTACTAATCAAAGCTAAAGTTTATGTTTTAGATATGAAGTCAGGTTATTAATGGAAAACATAAAACTTCAATGGTTGAAAAAAATCAATTATGCTATAATAAGAATGTAAATAATTATCCAAATTTTTTCCCACTGAAATCATGAACACTGGCATGAAATTTCTCACTAGGAACTAATTATTACTCCATTTCTTGCTAGTCTATGCTACTCATCTATGGCTTTTTCACTTAAAATAGTCTGCTGTTGTTAGATGCCATTCTCACAATCTCTTGACACACTTGAGCCCACTGCTGTAGTCACTGTGTCAATCTACCTGTCTGAGGGTCTTTCTTTCTTTAATCATCCCTCCACCTTCCAAGCATGATGTCCCACTCCTACCTAACAACATGACCAAAGTATGAGAGACAAAACTTCCTTATTTTTGCCACGAACAAGCACTATGGCTGCAAGAATAATGGAAATTATTTTTCAAGTGAGAATCTTAATAACTTCCCTTCAAATCAGAACACTAGTGCAACATTTTATAAGAATATAAGAAATAAAATATAGGACTTATCACTCACTCAAAGGTATTTTAATGTACTTACCAACGTACTGTTTGCTTCTACTCGACTAAGTTCTGGAAGTGAATTTTTAGCATATATTGAAATGGTGACTTCACCCCCAGTCTGATGCCAGTCATGTCTACATGGAACAACTTTCCCCCCCTGTGTTAAAAAAGAAAGTTTACAAATTTACAAAATGCCAGAAAACTCTTTTAACAGAGAAAAATTTATCCATAGCAGAAAAAAAAAAAAGCCACACAGAACTGAGTACTTACTTAACAATTTAGGACAAGCAACTTCTAAAGTTCCCACAAAAAAATATTTAAATAATCTATCATAATACAGATAATCTAGATTATCTTCAGTCTTATGAATTTATCATCAAGAACATTCTTCTTGATCTTTCTGTTGTAGGGCCACAGAATCAATAGACATTAAAAAAAAACTATAAAAAAAAATCAAGTAAATTTTATCTAAATGGCCTATCATCCAATAGATTTATTCCTAAAAACATTCTATAAAAACAGAAATAGAAAGATGTGCTTAGATGGCACAATATCAAACAATATCTTAATCACAGATCTTCAATATATTTTCTCTAAATCAGAATTTCGGAAAATATGACTGACCATTTGTAACAATCAGCCATTACTATTGAATATTTTTTTTTTCTCATAGATGTAATCTTTGGATTACTATTAGAGAACTAATTTCATACCAATGGTATGTTGCTATAACAGTAATTTTTTTTTAAAGAGACAATAATAACTTCAGTCATTGAGACAGATGACTAAGGAAACAGAGACACTTATTATAAGGACTTAATAAGATTTTGGTAACATTAACCTAACTCAATTTATATTGTATTTATCATTCACATTTTTGCCCTCAGCTAGTGGATTAGACACTAGTATTTACATGTACAATTGAAAAAAGTTCATCAAGGGTTAACATTCTGAAAACTGTTAAACAGAGCAACTTTATATTCTTCAAATTAATATTGCTCTTGGATCTCTGAGGAAAAAAACACAGGCAGACTTCTTTTGCTATACGACATTTCTGTAACTTTTTTGGTAGGTGAATTATAATTTGGGGTACAGTTTTAATATTCAATCTCATAGACAAAATAATCAACAAAAACCCCTAAACCTTATCAAAATGTGTTATTTAAAAATATCAACAACCAAGAGAAGAAAACAATAGATGAATGGGACCTTCTAAGAATCAAATCCCTATGCACATCCAAAAACTTCTCCAGCAGGGTAAAAAGGGAAGCCAAAGACTGGGAAAAAAGTATTTGGTAATGACATGTCATATAAGGGATTTATATCTCGAATTTATAAAATACTTGAGCACCAAAACAAGATAAACAATCCAATTGAAAAATGGGCACAGGATATGAACAGACACGTCACCAAAGAAGATATTCAAATGGACAACAAACACATGAAGAAATGCTCAAAATCCCTAGCTCTAAGAGAGATGCACATCAAAACAACTATGAGATATCATCTCAACCCAGTAAGAATAGCAAAATTTAACAACAGCAAGCAACAAATGCTGGCGAGGTTGTGGAGAGACTGGAACCCTTATTCACTGTTGGTGGAAGTGTAAAATGGTGCAACCACTGTGGATGGTGGTGTGGCACTTTCTCAGAAAAATGCAAACACAAATACCATTTGACCCAGCAATTCCACTACTTGGAATATACTCCAAAGAAACGATAATCGCCACCCAAGCAGATATATGCACACCCATGTTTATCGTGGCTTTGTTCACAATAGCAAGGAGTTGGAAACAACCTAAGTGCCCATCAACAAATGAATGGATAGAGAAGCTATGCTATATTCACACAATGGAATACTACGCTGCATTGAAAAACAAGGAACTCATGAAATATTACTCAAAATAAGTGACTCTGGAGGACATTATGCTGAGTGATGTTATCTTAGTCACAAAAGGACAAATACTGCATAGTGTCAGTAGTGTAAAACAGGACTGACATCAGGGTTGGGGGAGACTGAGAAAGATGGGATAAATAATGTATACTGCATTGAAACAGATGAGGGAGAAAACTGTTTAATAAAAGGGATATGTGATTAGGTATTATTGTCATGACAGGAGTCTAGAACAACGGGATTGTAAAACAATGAAAGAATTTTTCTTTTACTTTTCAAAGGGGGGGGCAGGGAAGGTGCAACAATGAATGAATGGAAATCCAAATTCTCTGTAAATTTTCATTAAAATTAAAAATAATAAAAAATAACAAAAATCAAATGCAGAAAATGCCTCTAAAAATTCAGTTATTTTCTAAGTTAACAAAAGAAAACAAACCACTGAGTATATTTAGATACTGAACAGATTCACTATATTGAGTTTATCAGTGAAAATATAGCACAAAAGGCTAACATACTATAAAATACATTAACAATATCTAATAGACAAACATTTATTTAGCAGTAAAATTGCTTGCCTTTTAAACAATTTAATGGACTTTTTAGGAATTATTTGCACAGCCCCAAGTCTTTTTAAAAAGCTGTCCGGGGAGTATGAACTGATGCTTTCTTTTTTTCTCTTGATAAATTTCCCTGTAGCAAGCAGAAGCATTCAAAAGAATTCCAACGAAACAAGTCTGCAATCCTCCTCTTTGACCACTAGGTGGAGTGTTTGTGCATCTGTAAATGGTTGAATGAAGTTTAAGTGGCCAAAAAAGAATCAGATGTCTATGATTTAAATACCATCTAAAAAATAGAAGTGATTTAAAACAAAAAAGGAAAAGTGGGTACACGCGATGCAGTTAATAAAACAGTTAATAGAACAGACATAGATGCTTCAATTTTGGCAGGCCTTAAAACCAATATGCTTGCACCAATATAAGCAAGACTATTTGGTTATAAAGACAAAATAGAACTATTTTCAGTTGTAGGCATATCACAACTTTACTGTTTGAGAAAAGAAAGGATTATTATTTTTTTAATCTAAAAAAAGAGAATAATCTCAAATGTTTTCAAAAAGGACTCCAATTAGTATAATCAGGTGTGTTATTTTGGTAAGGCTACTTACGGCATCCTTTTTAGTCCACATGTGTTTCCCTGTTGTACATCCCTCTTGGGCTAAAAATGTATTAAAATCAGAAGTTTTTCTTCTACAACAGCTCCAGTACTTCATCCTTTAAATCGTTAATAGAAAAATAGTTCAGAAATAATTACTCACAATTAATTAACCCAGAAGTCTTAAGTGTGATCTAAAAACTTAAGTGTGCAAGTTTGGCATATTTGTGTCTAACCTTACAGTTCTGATGGCCTGGGGGTAAGAAGTTGTGCTGCCAACCCAAAAGTAGGTGCTTTAAGTTCACCAGTGGCTCCACAGAGAGATGGGCAATTTCTTCCATGCAATGTACAACTTATGAATATCTGCTAGAGGATCAACTACTGATCAGTTCCTGCTCAACACCACACAATAACATAATCCTACTAGTAAGTTAAAATTGCATACATTTCACTGATGATTAATTTTAAGACCAAAATGTCATTTATTATGATAATTCTCTAGTACCAAAGTAAATACACTAATAACTTTCACAAAATTCTAAACTGATTTCATAGCCTAGGTTCATTATGAAGCTAAACAAGTGTTATGCAATCTTTGATGCTTAGTCAAAGTGGATGAAATCTATTAATTACTTGGTAAAAAAAAGTCCAAAGAAGAAAAAAAAATGACAAAATATAGTTTGTGTCCTGGGAATATGGAAGCAGAGTGAAGATGTGTGGGGTTTTTTTTTTTAAGCTTTATTATGCTTTGGAGCAACTTATAGTTCTTACACTATAACTCAATTGCTGTGGGTTCTGCCTTCTGAATTATCTCCTTGAGCAAATACTGCCTTTGTGATCTTATATGGTTGACGTTCTGAGTACCTCTGTGGTGTCATTTCTCCTATTGTTGGATAAAAGCTGAGGTTAGTCCCAGGCTTAAAGGCTGACTGAAGACCATTCTCTTGGGGTTCTGCCAGACCAGAAAGCCTGACTATATTTAGAATGTTAGTTCTGTTCCACATTTTTCTCCTACTGGGTCTAAGACTTTTTAATATTAAAACCTTGTTAGAGTGGACAGCAGTAGGAGGTGGGCACCATTCAGTTCTTTCAGTCTTAAGGTAGTGGAGGTTCAGGAGTCCTTTGTACTAATTGTTTATGTATGTCATCATTTTTCTTTGCTCCAGAAAAGGAAAGAGTTAACAGTTGCCCTTATATGGCTGCTGAGAAATTTTTAAAATCCAAGTTACAGCTCATTAAAATAAGATATACAACATTTGTCTTTATGGACTAAGTTATGCTAATTGACCATGATAATTCACGCTGACAATGACCCTGCCGCACCAAACAAAAACCAAAAACTCATTCCATAAGGGTTAAGATCAGGATTTTGAACATCAGGATTATGATTAAAAAGTTATGAAACTTTGCTGACTCGCCCATCAACAAACGAATGGACAGAGAAGCTCTGGTATATTCACACAATGGAATACTATGCAGTATTGAAAAACAAGAACTCATGAAATAATACGCAAAATGGATGACCCTAGAGGATTATGCTGAGTGCTATATCTCAGTCACAAAAGGAAAAATATTGCATAGTGCCATTGTAAAATGGACTGAAATCAGGGTTGAGAGAAGACAGAAAAGGAGGGGAGGAATGAAGTATATTGCATTGAAACAGGTGAGGGACAGAACTGTTTAAAAGGGACATAAGAATGGGTATTCTTGTCATTACAGAAGTCCCGAGTGAAGGCTGCATAGTGGAGTGGAGTGGGGGGTTGGGGGGTTACGTAAGAAAGAGTTTTTCTTTTTATGTTCAAGAAGAGTGGACTGGGGGATGGGAGTGGGTAGGGAGAAAGTGCAACAATGAATGACTGGAAACCCTAAGTCACTGTAAACTTTCATTAAAATTAATTAAAAAAGGGAAAAAAAGTTATGTAACTTTGCTGCCTCTTGGCTCAACTATGTTACGAAATGTTTTTAGCACATACACACATGCATATAAAATATCAACAATGTCCAAGATTTTAATGCACCACTATGTCTGTATCAAGAAAGCAAAGATTCTCACTACTAGGCCTATTGGCAGCATCATGATAGGTGGTGAAGGGATTGAGACTTTCAACAGCTTTAGTTTGCTTGGTTCCACAATCAACAATCATGGTACCAGCAGCCAGGAAATAAAAAAGTCAAATTGCACTGTGAAAGCCTGCTGTGAGAGATATCTCCAAAGTACTAAAGAGCAACAACATCAGTCTGGAGAATAAGGTGCACCGGATCCAGGCTATAGTCTTTGCAATTATTTGCAATGAATCAGAAAGCTGGACTAGGGATGATATAAGAATTGATGCCTCTGACCTGTGGTGCTGGAGATTACTGAATATACCATGGACTACTGTAACAGAAAGGTTCATCCTAGAAAGGGTGAGATCAGGCTGCTCGTTGGAGGCAAGGATTCCGAAGCTGTGTGTGACATACTCTGGACATGCTGCAAGGAGGGACCAGTTCTGGAAGAGGGATGTCATGCTTGGGAGGGTGGAGGGGCAGCGCTAGGGAGGAAAACCTTTGATGAGATGGATTCATTCAGTCACTGGGGTAATGGGGGTAGGTATGTCAGAGACAGTAAAACTGGCACATGATAGAGCAGGGTTGAGGGCTGTTGTACATAGGGTCGCTCTAAATAACAGGTGACTCAAGGCACATAACAGCAACAATGTCTCCATAAATTATAGCACAATATAGAAGTGTAAAGGCTGCACAAAGGATGGGTCTTCTTGAATTTCACAAAGTGGTGTTAGTGTCATAGGGCCAAAACCTTCCAAATTCTCAACTATTTGTAAGCTAACCTTCTGAAAAATATAAAATATCCAAAATCAAAAAACTATTCAGCTTAACTATATAAAGAACATACCATTGAAATATATGCATAGGAGAAAAAGATACTGGTTTGCTTCCATTTTCTCATGTGTTAAGACAAGTCATTTTAACATTATTCTAAAGAGCAAACAGCAATACATAAAATACTACTGCATAAAAATAATGTTGAAAACATACTTTCTAAACTCTATCATGAAAACCCCCTGACTGCTATAACCCTCCTTTGAGTTTCTGAGGCTATACAGCACATGGAAGGAGATCCCCATCTTTTTCTTGTTGAGGCAGCCATTGGTGGATTTGAACTGCTGGAGAGAAAGACTTTTGAGTTAGTATCATCTTTCCCTACAGCCTACTCCACCAGAGTTTTGATGACATGCTTACCCTTCATGGAAAATAGGTACTCCAGAATGATATATACAGGTTTCTTCTAGACTGTCTAGACCCTGGTATGTCTAAAAAAGACAAAAAGAAAGGAGTACTTTTAGCCAAACAGCTCAGAATTATATCATACATGCATCTGTATTATATCTTAAGATTAAGGCAATGGGGGAGAAGGGATAATTATTTATGACACTCATAAAGCTACCCTGTAGGTCATTTTTCAACCTACTGAAAATTTTCAACATGGTTAAACTTCAGGTCTCGGATAAGACAGTAAGATGTACTAAGATTTTTCAACCTTTTTTGGGTATGAGATTCTATCCAAGAATATTCAGATATTTTGATTTACAGAATGTTATTTAAAATTAGGGATCATAACCGTCAATGGAAATATAATTACAGTATGATTATGTGTATCATACACTCTGTGTGGGCCTTTACAAGCAATAAAATCTAGTAAACACTTCTGATTTTAGAGTGATGATGTATTTCCATACCCAACAAAGAATAAAATGTCAGGATCTGTTTGAAAGACTCAGGCTTCACTGCTATCTGGAGGTGAAGTTTCTAATGAATGAATCTTTCCATGGATGAATTTACAAAAAGTTTTCCTAATAATACATATAAGCAACAATGTATTTTGATATTTTTTGCACTTAATCTTTATATACATTAAGTTCTGCATGCTTACATGTCATAAATCCAAAATACTAGGTGTGTGAAAGTCCTTACATAGAATAGTTTGCATTCAATGCTAACCTAAAGGTCTGGGTACTGAAGCGACCCAGGCAGACTGAGAAAGCAAACGTCTGATAATCTCTTCTGTTAAGATCACAGTCATGACAATTTTACTCTGCAACCCTTGGGGTTGCAATGGGTGGGAATTTACTACGTTGGCTGTTATCTCCAACAAACATGTTGTTGTTGTTGTTGCGTGCCGTCGAGTCGTTTGCAACTCATAGCGACCCTATGTATAACAGCCCTAAACCCTGATCTATCCTGTGCCAATCGCACTGCCTCTGACACACCCAACCCGATTACCCCAGTCACTGAATCAATCCACCTCATTGAGGGTCTTCCCCTCCTGCGCTGTCCCTCTACCCTACCAAGCATGATGTCCCTCTCCAAGGACCTGTCTCTCCTTACAACATGTCCAAAGTATGTCAGACGAAGCCCCAGAATCCTTGCCTCCAAGGAGTAGCCTGGTTTAACCCTCTTGAGGGTGAATCTGTTTTCTTGACAGTCCAGGGTACATTCAATACTCTTCTCCAGCACCACAGCTCAAAGGCATCATCAATCTCTTCCCTAATCATTGTCCAACTCTCTGATGCATAACAAGTGATTGCAAAGACCATGGCCTGTATCAGGCACACCTTAGTCTCCAGAGAGACACCGTTGTTCTTGAGTACTTTAGAGAGGTCCCTAACAGCAAAGTCTTCTACAAATACACAAAATGTATCATGCTAGATCCTGAACTCATTACTGTTGTCCTTTAAACCTTATATTCCTATATGATGGCTCCAAAAGTTAGCTTATTTGGTGACGGATTCTTCAAAGCAACATCCTGTTATGTCCTCTTTGGTCATCCACACTGCATCTATCAAATCTCAATTATTTGACTTGAAAAAAGCTGTCTAATTTGCAACTTTCTGCATAATCATTTGCGGAATTCAGAAAATATATTAGTGGATTCTGAATCACTTTCTCTTCCATCAGCTTCTGTTCTCTAACATCTAAATAAAACAATTATAAATAATCTTGTCTAAAGTAAAATATCATCATCTAATTTGCTTTGCTATATATGTATTACACACCTTACACAATAAGCAGTTATAGATGGTTGTTTCTAAATGTGAGTCTGGAACATAATATGGAAGAAACGAATCATGGCCCTGGAGGAAATAGATTTCTTCTTAAATAAGACACAAAAAGAACTAGTCTTAAAGGAAATTATAAAAATTTTAAATTTCAATAAAATTAGGTATCTCTGCCAAAAGTCAATATTAAGACAGGCAAAATTTATAAAGAATTTCAATAACTCAAGAAAAAGAATATACAAAAGTCAAAATACAAACTTTTTGAATTCCAATAAATCAAAAAGGAAAAGGTAAACTAACTGATTTTGGAGATTTCACCAAAAAGGATATCCAAAAAACTAAAGAAACCTAAATAGATAAATTCTACTTTATTATTAGCAAAGTTCAAATTAAAATCACAATGAATACACCACATTCTCATCAGAACAGCTAAAATTTAGAAGATCAGTATTATAATATTACCAAGCTGTAATTAGTTCTCATATAAAGTACTTGCTGCCATGAAAACTAGTGTATATATTTTTGAAATGTGCAATTTCCACCCTGGCAAAATGACTGCCTCTGAAAACCTGCTGGAGGGTCAGCTATGGGTCAGTTCTGACTCTATCATACACAACAACAATAATTCAAAGTAAATGTTAAAACAGAATATATACATACTGTGATCACATATTTTCATTCTACTAATATTATCTGTAGATATGTTATACGCAATCTAGTTGACTAAAACTTTTAGCGACCCTATAAACATTATCTATGAGCCCTGACCTATCCTGAACCAATCTTGCTGACTCCAAAAGAGCTGTTCCTATTACCCTAGTCACTGTGTCAATCTATCTCATCAGGATTCTTCCTCTACTGCACTAATCCTCTATCCTGTCAAGCATGATGTCCTCCAAAGACTGGTCCTTCCTGGCAATATGCCCAAAGTATGTAAGATGGAGCTTCAAAATCTTTGCCTTCAAGGACCAACCTGATTTCACCCTCTCCAGGACAGACCTGCTTATTCTTTTGATATTCAGGAGGCTGGACTTTATGAGGAATGTGAGAAGTTATGTTCAATACTCTTCTCTAGCACCACAGTTCAAAGACATCAATTCGACTTCTGCCATCCTAAGTCACTGCCCAGATCTCAGATGCACAGTAAGTGGCAGTTAGAAGGCCACGGTCTACAAGAGGCACACTTTAGTCTCTAAACTGACATCGTTGCTCTTCAGCACTCTGATGAGGTTCCTGTCAGCACTTTCCCTATGCAACGCTTCTTGTGATTTTCTGACTGATGATGCCAAGAGTGTTGATTGTGGATCTGAGAAGAAAGAAATTGTTTACAATCTCAGTCTCTTCTTCATCTATTATGATTCTGTCAATTGACCCGATGGTGAGAATCTTTGTTTTCTTGATGTTTAGCTTCAATCCATATTGAAGACTGCAGTCCTCAAACTTGTGCAGAAACGCTTCAGGTCTTCCTCAGTTTTGGCAAGCATAATGAAAACTGTTGAGGAGTCTTTTTCCAATCCTGATGCCACATGCATCCTCATAAAGTCCAGCTTCCTGGACTATCTGTTCCACTTATAGATTGAAAAGATTTCATCTCCTTGTCAAAAAGCAGTTGACCATAGGTAGATGGGTTGATTTCCAGATTTTCAATTCTATTCTATTGATCTGTATGTCTGTCATTGCAATAGTACCACACTGTCTTGACCACCACGGCAGAGTAGTAGAATTTGAAATCAGGGAGTGAGATGCCTCCTACCTTGTTTCTCTTTTAAGGAGTGCTTTGCTTATTCGGTGCTTTTTTCCACTTCAAATGAAATTGGAGACTGCCTTTTCCATCTCGTTGAAAAATGGGACTGGTATTTATATTGGGATTGCATTAAAAGTGTAAATTGCCTTTGATAGTTTGCCATTTTCACAATATTGGTGTTGGCAAAACTGGAAATCTATCTGCAGAAAACTCAAGCAAGATCCACACCTCACACCTTACACAAAAACCAACTCAAGGTGGATCATTGACCTAGGACTAAAACCAAGGACTGCAAAATTGATTAAAGAAAATCCTGGAAGAACTAGAAGTCCTAACCCACAAAATCAACAGTCTTCCAAGCATCCTGAAAAACCTACAACCAGGAGAGGATAAAATAGATGAATGGGACCTTCTAAGAATCAAATCCCTATGCACAT